TATAATTTACTAAACAGGAATTTTGACTTAAAGAGTGTACCAAACACAAAAAAACAAACAAAAAAAAAAACCACCCATTTTTACCAACAGTTTTCACATGTGCAATTCATTGCCTTAATCACGTTGGGCGACCATCACCCCGTCCTTTCTCAAATTCTTCCACCGCTGTCAACAGAAACTCAGTGCCCCCTAAGCACTGACTCCCCACTCCCCTGCCCTCCCCTGGCAACCACTCGTGAGCTCTGGTCTGTTCCATACACGTGGGGTCACCCAGTGTTTGTCCTTTTCTGATTTGTTTCACTCACCAGGATGTTTTCAGGGCACTTCCATGTTGTAGCGCGTCAGCACTTCATCTGTCTTCGTGGTTGAGTATGAAACTTTGATCTGATAAATTGTTGCAGAGAAACTGGCAGCATTTCGTCCTCTGGATCTGGGGTTTGAGGTGGAAATGTTTGTAACTTACTCCTTTTTTAAAGGGAGAAAAGGCCAGGACACTGTAACATCCTGAGGTGTTGCAGGCAGAAGCCCCACTGCGTGCTGCCTCTTTAAGTCCACCTGATGTCTGACTGCCTTCTTCTCTCTCTGTCGGTGGTATCCACCATTTCCTCAGCTCCCAGACTGGTTTCTTCACCTGTGGCCTTGCCCTGCTCAAACCTCCCCACCCTCTTCCACCAAAGCTTTCCTGTCCATCTGGCTTCCCGGCATTCCAGTCAACAGCCCTGCAAGCCCCTCTTCAGCCATGGCAGGTTCTGGAACCTGGCTGGGCATCAGACGCCCTTGGTGGGAGCCCTTTAAGCACACAGCCCCCCAGCCTCAGCCCAGGTGGGGTGTTTTCCCTCCTCTCCTCCCTCCCTTCCCTGTCCTGGTTCTTACTGGGGCAACCTCCCCTTTACAGTACAGGCAGGGTTCAGCCACCATCTCTGCCAGGTAGTCTTCCCTGACCCCCTGCCTAAGTCTCTGGGTTCCCGTGAGTACTCCATGGTGGCATTTACTGCGTGTCCATGTTGCCTGGTTACTTGAGTCTCTCCCCTGTCAGTGAGGGCATCTTAAGGGAAGGTGCGGTGTCTCCTGGGTCACGGGGCACAGCTCTGTGTGTCCTGTACCACAGCACAGCTCCTGACAGACTGGAGGGCACTGGGGACTTGAGGAGGAGTATGCAGCATAATTACATGAGTCTCCTGATCAGATGGCTCCCAAATCGGGTCTGAAATGCCACCATGGCTTCACTCTCAGCTGCTAAAGAGGCAACGAGTTTGAAGGTGTAAGTGCTTCCTATCCATCTCAGCCAGGAAAAGGAGTGCTCAGTATATCGAAATGAAGGTTGAAGGCGTCCAGCAGCCTAACTTGTAACATTTAGTCGACTGACTGTCTTCACGATGAGCGGCGGCTTCTTAGGCTTTCCTGTAACCAGGGCATGCGTGTGTCTGTGGTTTTTGTTTTCATCTCTGTGATGTAGGAGGTGGGTATCTGACGTGTGTCATGCACAGCTCAGCTGAGGGGTTCTTTAGAGTGTGACACTTGGTGTGGTGCTCTATGAAACAAACGGTTCCACTTTTAGATGTCACACACGTGACAGTGCTGGTCAGAGGGCTCTGTCACTGAACTTTTCTGTTTGTGTTTTGCAGACAATGTGACTGCTATACCCAATCAGGTCTATCAGCCCCTTGGGCCTTGTCCTTGTAACTTGACAGCTGGGGCCTGTGATGTTCGCTGCTGCTGTGACCAGGTACGTGCGCTCTGGTTCTGGGCACAGGCGTCAGGCAACCCGACAGTGGGAGAGGACACCCGCAGCTCCCCATCAGCCGCTTTTGAACGAATGTGCGTTCACAGGGAGCTTATCTGTCAGGGTGCAAGTTGTTTCCCAACAGAATATCCTCACAGAGAGCATGGCCAGTCTAGTTCACAGAAGCAGGGGAAGTGTGTTTGTCTGGGTGAAGCCACCATAGCAGGAATGACCCCGAGGGGATGGTTTCAGTCTTACTCAGAAGTTGTTAAGAGAATCTAAAATGGAAAGAAAATACAGCACTTTTTTCCCAATGGTTTTTAGTATATTTACAGAGTTGTGCCAATACCCCTGCAGTCTTACTTGTAGACGTTTCTGTCACCCCATTTGTACCTGTTTGCAGTAGTGTTCCTTCCCAGCTCCTGGCACCACCAATCAGCTTTCTGTCCCAACCGATTTGCCTGTTGGGTGTTCCCTGTAAATGGGATCTGACTGACGTGGCCTTATGACTGACTGCTTCCACTGAGCATTATGCTTTCTAGGTTCATCCATGATGTAGCAGTTATCAGAATGTCCTTCCTTTATGGCCAAATAATATGAGATCTGTATGTATATGTCTAATACCATATTTTATTTATCTGTTCATCAGTTGGTGGACGTTTGGATTATTTGCTCATTTTTTGGCTGTTGTGAACCATGCTGCTAGGAACCGTCACATACAGGTGTCTCTGGACATAACGTTCCTTTGTCTCTTGGTTGTACACCGAGGAGTGGGGTTGCTGAGTCATGCTTTTTGTTGCCTGTACTTTTGGTGTCATATCTAACAAACTGTTGCCTGATCCAAGGTCAAACACGTATTTTTAACCCTCTTTTAGAGACATGAGAGATGCACAAGAGGCACGTTGACACGTCGCCAGCACCTGTGCCAGTGGCTGTCCAGTCAGTCCTGACCCATGGTGACCCAGTGGGTGACCCAGTGGAGCTCTGGCTCCTAGTGGCTGGTTTTTCAGGTCTCCAGGCCTTTCCTCCGAGATCCGCTGGACGGAATTGAACCTCCAGCCCCCGTTAGCAGCCGAGCGTGTCAGCCATTTGCTCCACCAGGGGCTCTGCTGGAACCCAAGACACCCCCATTTTTGGCTGAGTGCACTGGTGTCATGGTTGGTGCGACACAATAGGCCAGGGAAGTTTGGGGTCCGCATTCATGCAGTCGCACTGACGCAATTATAGTTGATCAACAAACGGGTGCGTTGTAAATCTGGTCAAGTGCAGCTACCGGTTCCCGGCAGTGTTTGACGAGGCTCCAGTTTCTCCACAGCCTCGCCAACCCCTGTTGTCATCAGTTTCTCGATGACGGGCCAGTGGTGAGAAATGATGTTGTCTTCCTCTCCTTCCAGGCCGCAGCCCACCTCCTGTTGCTTTCTGTGTTTGTTGTGCTGTTTGCCACGGTGCCTACCCCTCCCATCAAGGAACAGTCTGAATTAGTGAAGGCTTCAAGTAACTGAGCTGTATTATTATCAGTTTATACACTGTTGTTGTTATTGTTAGGTGCCGTCGAGTCATCTCTGACTCACAGTGACCCTGTGCACAGCAGAACAAGACACTGCCAGGTCCTGTGCCAGCCTCACGATCCTTGCTATAGCTGAGCCCATTGCCGCAGCCACTGTGTCAGTCCATCTCACTGAGGGCCTTCCCCTTCTTCGACCCTCCACTTTACTGAGCATGATACCCTTCTCCAGGGAGTGGTCTCTTCTGACAACATGACCAAAGTAGGTGAACCGAAGTCTGGCCATTCTCACTTCCAAGGAGCATTCTGGCTGCATTTCCTCCAGGAAAAATTTGTTAGTCCTTTTAGCAGACCATGGTACTCTCAGCATTCTTCTCCAACACCACAACTCAAAAGCATCAACTCTTCTTTGGTCTGCCTTATTCTTTGTCCAGTTCTCACATGCATAAGAGGTGATTGAAAATACCATTGCTTGGGTTAGGCACACCTTAGTCTTCAAGGAGACAATTTTGTTCTTCATCACTTGAAAGAGGTCTTTTGCAGCAGCTTTGCCCAATGCAATACATTGTCTGATGTTTTGACTGCTGCTTCCATTGGTGTTGATTGTAGAACCAAGTAATATGAAATCCTTGACAACTTCAAACTTTTCTCCATCCACCATAAAGCTGTTTATTGGACCAGTTGTGAGGATTTTTGTTTTCTTTATATTGAGATGTAACCCATACTGCAGACTGCAGTCTTTAATCTTATCAGTAAGTGTTTCAAGTGTCCTCCCGTTCAGCAAGCAAAGTTGTATCATCTGCGTATCTCAGGTTGTTAATGAGTCTTCCCCCAGTCATGATGCCATATTCTTCTCCATATAATCCAGCTTCTTGGATTATTTGCTCGGCATACAAGTTGAATAAGTGTGGAGAAAGGATACAACCTTGATGTACTCCCGTCTTGATTTTGAACCATGCGGTATCCCCTTGTTCTGTTCAAACAACAACTCCTGATCTATGTACAGGTTCCTCATGAGTACAATCAAGTGTTCTGGAATTCCCATTCTTCTCAATGTTGTCCACAATTTGTTATGATCCACACAATTGAATGCTTTTTCATAGTCAATAAAACATAGTAAACATCTTTCTTGTATTCTTTGCTTTCAGCTAAGATCCATCTGACATTGGTAATGATATCGCTTATTCCATATCCTCTTCTGAATCCAGCTTGCATTTCTGGGAATTCTCTGTCAATATACTGCTGCAACCGTTTTTGAATTATTTTCAGTAAGATTTTACTTGCATGTGCTATTAATGATATTGTTTGATAATTTCCACTTTCTATGGGATCACCTTTCTTTGGAATGGGTACAAATATGAATCTCTTCCAGTCAGTTGGGGTGGTAGCTGTCTTCCAAATCTCTTGGGATAGCCAAGTGAGTGCCTCCAGCAGGGCATCCATTTGTTGAAATATCTCAATGGGTATTCCATCAATTCCTGGAGGCTTATTCTTTGCCAATTCCTTCAGTGCAGCTTCAACTTTTTCCTTCAGTACCATTGGTTCCTGATCATATGCCACTTCCTGAAATGGATGAACATTGACCAGTTCTTTTTGGTACAGTGGCTCTGTATATACCTTCTATCTTCTTTTGATGCTTCCTGCATCATTCACTATTTTGCCCATAGAATCTTTCAATATTGCAACTTGAGGCTTAAATTTTTTCCTTAGTTCTTTCAGCTTGAGAAATGCCGAGCATGTTCTTCTCTTTTGGTTTTCTAACTCCAGGTCTGCACATTTCATTATAGTAATTGGCTTTGTCTTCTCGAACTGCTCTTTGAAATCTTCTCTTCAGCTCTTTTATCTTCTCATTTCTTCCATTTGCTTTAGCTACTCTCTGCTCAAGAGCAAGTTTCAGACTCTCTTCTGACATCCATTTTGGTCTTTTCTTTCTCATCTTTTTTTTATAACCTCTTGGTTTCTTCATGGATGATGTTCTTGATGTCATCCCACAATTCCTCTGGTTTTCGGTCATTGGTGTTCAATGCATCAAATCTATTCTTTAAATGGTCTCTAAGTTCAGGAGGGATATATTCAAGGTCATATTTTGGCTCTTGTGGACTTGTTTTAATTGTCTTCAACTTCAAGTTGAACTTGCATATGAGCCATTGATGATCTGTACCACAATCAGCTCCTGGCCTTGTTTTGGCTGAATATATTGAGCTTTTCCATTGCCTCTTGACACAGATGTAGTCAATCTGATTCCTGTGTGTTCCATCTGGTGAAGTCCATGTGTTTAGTCATGACTTATATTGTTGACAAAAAAGTGTTTGCCGACTATGAGACCAGAAGAACTAGATGGTGCCTGGCTACCCCTGTCAACTACTCAGAGGGAGATCTATGTAGGAGATCCTGTATAGAGAGGGAGAACATCATGGAACAAAACTCAAAATTATTTGGCCAAGAAAAAAAGAGGGACCAGGTTTGCTGGTCTGATAGAGCTTGGTGGAACCACTGATATTATGGCCCCTAGCTGCCCTTCAGGTCTGGAAGTGAACCCACACCTGTGGCTTCCAGCCAAACAAAAGACAGGCATAGGAGTTGAACATGTACCTGAGGTAGATATACTCCTTGGAGAGATCAATCATGGGAGAAAGAAGGGCTGTTTATGCACAGGGGGACAGCTCAGGGGGCAGGAGTGCATGGAGGGGTGGACACAGGGAAGAGGTAACTAGCAGGAGGAAGTGGGAGGGGAGCTGTTGCATTGGGGTAAATTATAGTCGATGTCATGAGATGGAGCGTATGTGAACTGCTATATGGAAAGTGAATTTGCTCTGTAAACTTTCACCCAAATCACAATTAAAAAAAAAGAAAGAAAGAAAAAAGGTATTTGCAATGAATAAGTCATTGGTCTTGCAAAATTCTATCACACAATTTCCAGTGTTATTTCTATCACCAAAGCCATATTTTCCCACTACTGGTAACTCTTCTTTGTTTCCAACTTTCGCTTTCCAGTCACCAGTGATAATCAACACATCTTGATTGCATGTTTGGTCAATTTCAGACTGCAGAAGTTGGTAGAAATCTTTAATTTCTTTGTCTTTGACTTTGGTGGTTGGTGCACAGATTTGAATAACAGTATTAAGTGGTCTTCCTTGTAGACATATGGATATTACCCTATCCCTGACAGTGTTGTACTTCAGGACAGATCTTGGAACACTCTTTGTGATGATGAATGCCACACCATTCCTTTTCAAACTGTCATTCCCGGCTAGTAGATCACATGGTTGTCTGATTCCGAATGGCCAGAACCGGTCCATTTCAGCTCACCAGCCTAGGGTATGGATCTTTACCTGTTCCATTTCCTTCCAATTTTCCTAGATTTATGCTTCATACATTCCATGTTCCAATTTTTAATGGATGTTTGCATCTGTTTCTGCTCATTTTGAGTCATACCACATCAGCTAATGGAGGTCCCAAAAGCCTTACTCTATCCGTATCATTAAGGTGTCTCTACTCTGAGTAGTCAGCTCTTCCCTAGTTGTGTTTTGAGTGCCTTCTGACCTGATAGGCTCGTCTTCTGGCACTGTCAGACAGTGTTTCACAGCTATTCATAAAGTTCTCCAGTAATATACCAGACAGTGTTTGACTGCTATTCATAAGGTTTTCACTGGCCAGTTCTTTGAGAGGTGGATGGCCTTTTCCTTCCTCTGAGTCTGCCTTAACCTGGAAACTCCGCTGAAACCTGTCCACCATGGGTGACCTTGCTGGCATTTTGCAACACGGTGGCATAGCCTCCAACCTCACAGCAATACATAAGCCACCACAGGATGACAAACTGACAGACAAGTTTGTCTCCCTTAGCTGTTCTTAACCCCTCTGCACCCACCTACATTGGGCCTCAGCTTTAAAATAGAGCTGCCCGCAAGTGAAAAGCAACCTCCAAGCCCTGGGGCCCCGTATCTCAGGTCCCGGCCTTAACAAAGTGGAAAGCAGCCTCCAGCCCCGGGCCCAATTTATAGTGTGTATAATTTATACACTAGCGTTTTGAAATTTGAATTGCTTTTGTTTGAAATCATAGATCCCTTTTTCACCATCATTGGACGGGGGTTTAGACTTATAGCACCCTTAGCTTTCCGTGAGGGCGCAGTGTGGCTCGGTGGTGGCATGCCCCCTTTCTATGCGGAAGATCCGGGTTCAAGTCCCGGCCAGTGCATGTCATGAGCAGCCTCCGCATGTCTGTCTGTGGAGGGTCGCTTGTTGCTCGGGTGCTGAGCGGCCTCTGTGTGTCTGTCTGTAGAGGGTCGCGTGTTGCTCTGTCTGGCTATGGAGGGTCGCGTGTTGCTCAGGTGATGAGCAGGTTTCCAAGGAGCTCCCAGACTAAGACAGACGGGGGAGGAAGAGAAGCTGCTTCTGAGGATCAGCCTGTGAGCCCCTTATGGGTCCCAGGGGGCTGATCTGCCGCCCATCACAGGGACAGTGCAGGATGGGCAGCTTTGAGTTCGGTTGGGCATGGCGTCGCCATCAGTGGTGACAAGTCTGTAGCAGTGAACAGTAACAGTCCTGTGTGAAACAAGGGAGAATACGGATGAATAGGTGAAGACAGGCACTTCCTGAGGGCATCTGGGATTCTTGGGGAGTGTGGGGGCATGGGCACACATTATACACGCCCTCCGCTTTTCTGGGCTAGAGGTTGAGGGCACTGACTGTACGAGCAGGCACTTTGACCCTGTGTCATTGCCTGTTTGGGGCCTCTCTTTTCTCCTTGGATCATGTCTGCTGGGCACATCTTACGCCCCAGGAAAGTTGGTTCCCGTGAAGGCAGACATCCTGAACGGAGTCTCCTTAGGGAAGTAAGTACAGAAATCCTAGACTCACTTTGCTCTCTGTGGCGCACATGCTTTCAGTCAAGGTGGGGGTTGTCTTAGTTTCTTGCTTACCTGGTCGGCCACCAGGAGATTGTGTTCCTCTGCTGTGCTGTGTCCCGGGTGTCAGACGATACATAAACCCTGCCTGCGGTACCAGGAGAGCCTGGTACATGGAGCCGTCGTCTTCCCGCCACTCTTTCCCATTCTCTTCCCAGGAGTGCTCGGCAGACTCGGCAGAACTGTTCCAACAGGCCTGCTTCACCGGTGTGTTCGGAGGAGATGTGAATCCTGCCTTTGATCAGCTTTGCTCCGCGCAGACGACACGCCGTGTCCCCGACTGGTTCCCCTTCCTGTGTGTGCAGTCCCCCCTTGCCAACTCGCCCTTCCTTGGTTACTTCTACCACGGCGTGGTGTGAGTGTCACGTAAGGGACTGACAGGGCGTCGTTCTCCGGCACAGGGCCGTCCACGTCCAGGTCTGGAGGGGTCTCGTTTCTCAGGACCTCACCAAACCATCTGTGCTTCAGTACCCAGTTCTAGGTGGGGATTTGAAAGCGTATTTATTTTATTTTCAGTTTGATTTCCCTTAACAATTCTCTGTTTCTTGAATCCTGGACATCATTGCATAAAAAGCAAACCCACTGCCATCAAGTCAGTTCCAACTCATAGCTACCCTCATAGGGATTCCAAGCCTGTGAGTCTTTATGGAAGTAAATTGCCCCATATTTCTCCTGTGGAGCAGCTGGTGGGCTTGAACCACTGCCCTTCTGGTTAGCAACAAATGCTTTATCCACTGTGATGCTAGAGCTTCTAATATTTTGATATTAATGGATTTTTGTCTTCTGTTTTAATTAAAAGAAAACCCTTTGTAGTACGAAAATGTTCAAACAATCAAAACAGAGAGAAAATAGGGAAGGGCCAAGTATGCTGAACCCTCACTCCCTGTTACCTAGCTCAGCAGTTGCTACATACCACTCACATTGCGTCATCAATATAACCTCCCCTTTGCTAGAGTAAGGAGCCCTGGTGGTGCAGTGGGTAAGACATTTGGCTGCTAACTGAAAGGTCAATGGTTCGAATCCTCTAGCCGTTTCATGAGAGAAAGATGTGGCAGTCTGCTTCTGTAAAAATTCAAAACCAAAAACCAAACCCATTGTTGCTGAGTCAATTCTGACTCATAGCAACCCTGTAGGACAAAGTAGAACTGCCTCACAGGGTTCTCAAAGCTGTAGTCCTTATAGAAGCGGACTGCCATGTCTTTCTCCTGTGGAGTGGCTGGTGGGTTCGAACAACCAGCCTTTTGGTTAGCAACCAAGTGCTTAAGTACTGCACCAACAAGGCTCTTTCTGTAAAGATGACGGAGACTCTCTGAGGAAGTTCTACTCTTTCCTGGAGAGTCACTATGAGGAATGGACTTAACATCAATGGGTCCTTTGATAGATTAAAGCAAGTATCTGACAATGATTATGGGTTTTTTAAAAATTACTGTTCATTCACAAATATTGATTGCATCCTATGGACGAGGTCAGTGAGTTTATTTTGAGTTAGGTGTTTCAGAGAATCGTGCTTCATTTAGAAGAAATTGGTGCTGTTAATGGTGAATTTTCTTGGGTGGGAACGGGTAGAGGTATTGGGGGTTTTAATTTTCCATATTCTACATTTCTTTATGGTTATGAGTGACATTTTACTTCAGCAAAATACTACTTGGTAATTTAAAAAAGTAAAAAAATATATGTAAAGATTGTGTTGTAGCAGATGGTGGCTGGAAGTGTTCATGACAGTCTTTCTTACTGATTTCAGTTTCCCGAAACAAGACTCTTTGTTGGAAATTCCTTTGCACACTGATCTAAAAGACTGCTCCGACTTTGGCTACAAACAAGGAGACCCGATTATGACAGTAGATAAGGCATACTTCACTATCCCACAGGTGATAACTGCAGTTTCAGTGTGTTCAAGTGTTCTCTGAGCCTCCCCAGCCTGTTGTTAATTTACTGTTCCCTGGTGGCACAAACAGGCAAGCGCTCAGCTACTAGTCAGAAAGGTCGTGGTTCGAATGCGTCCAGTGGCCCCTCAGAAGGCAGGCCTGGCTATCTGCTTCTGAAAGCCCTGTGACAGCTCTGGGCACACAGGGGTCGCATCAGGGGACAGCCACAGTGGTAACGTAACTCAATGCTGTTCTAAAATCTCTCCTAAGTTACCAATTTTTCTCTTAGAAATTTCTATGGACTCAATTGTTTATGGTCTCTGGATTTTTTTTTTTTTTTTTTAATATAACCAAACCAAAGGAAACCCACTGCCGTCAAGTTGTTTTGACTCATAGCAATGCTACATAGGGCCAGTAGAACTGCCCCATAGGGCTTCCAAACTGTCAGTCTTTATGGAAGCAGACTGCCCCATCTTCCTCCTGCAGAGCAGCTGGTGAGTTCGAATCACTGACCTTTTGGTTAACAGCTGGGTGCTCCTTCTTTCTCTCTCTCTCTCTCTCTCTTTTTTTTTTTTTAATAATCACTCTCAAATTAATCACTGTCTTACCTAAATCTCAGAGTGAACCTGCAAAATAAAACTAAAAGTTTTTCCGTAAACTTTCATTTATGTGATTGTCATTCTTGCTTGTGTTGATTTAACAGCCGCTCTCTAGGAAGCTGTAAATAGATCATTCTATTATGTTCCAGAATTTTGAAAAGATTTGAATACTGTAGAGTTTTATGTGAAATATTATTTTTCAAGATCAAATTTATGAGGAAACAGTATCTGTGGGAGAAAACCTGGGAGCCTGAACCATTAATTTATTTCTCACTCTTCATACGATTTCATTTTTGTGGTATTAAAGCATCCTCGTTGGTGGATGGGGAGAAAATGAAGTTGGGTATAATCATGTCTCTCTGCGGTTTATGGAGCAGGCTGAGGGATTTTCGTTTCGTTTTTAGTGAATAATATTTACTGAGACTCCTCCACTCTCCTCCTGGTGGCTTCCAGATGGTTTGCCAAATGGTTGATCAGCAAATGAGTGATTAGTAGACTGGAGACTGGGCTGAGCCCCGGCCGGTGTGGGACTCAACTAGCAGCAGCAGGTCAGTCATCAGTCTGTTGGGTTTTCCCTCCACTCAGGTGTCCCTGGCTGGGCAGTGCCTGCAGGACGCGCCGGTGGCATTCCTTCACAACTTTGATGTCACGTGTGTTCGGGATTTGGAAGTATACCAGGAACCAGATGGCATTTACCGTGTGAAGATAAAAAATGGCGTAATGGGAGGTACGTTATGATTGTTAGAAAAAGCACACAGCCCTGAGCGTTTAGATGAACCCTGATCTCGTGAGACTACAGGTCACTTGTGCAGGGTCAGTGTGAAAGGGTATTGCCATGCCCAATAAGGAAGCTAGTTTCTTTGGAAAAGTTTCTAATCCACAAGGCAGCAGATTCCATGTTTGTTCTTTTTTAAAATTGAGGTGAAATTCCCATAACATAAAGTTTTCCATTTAAAAATGTACAATTCAGTAGCATTCAGTACATTCACTGTGTTTTGCAGCCACCGGTTCTGTCTAGCCCAAACGATATTCCAAACCCAAAAGGAAACCCATTAGCAGTTACTCCCATTAATGGCTCCTCCTAGCCCCTGTCAACCGCTCCCCTTCCCTCTGTGTCTGTGGCCTTGCCTGTTCTGGATAATCCACAGAAATGAAATCACACACTGTTTGCTCCTTTGGGTTGGGCATCTTTGACTCACGTGACACTCTCAGTTTCATCCATGAATCAGGACTTCAGTCTTTCTCAGGGCTCAGTAATACTCCCTTGCGTGGATAGACCACGTTTGGTTTACTCACTCGTTCATTGGCTGATGGACTTTTGTTTGGGTTGTTGCCACCTTTTTTGGAATACCTGTTTTCAGCTCTTGTCTTACGATAATTTACCTTTTGAGGAACTGCTAAGG